TAGTAACAATAAGACGGTAAGACTGACAGTAGTAACAATAAGACGGTAAGACTGACAGTAGTAACAATAAGACGGTAAGACTGACAGTAGTAACAACAAGACTGACAGTAGTAACAATAAGACGGTAAGACTGACAGTAGTAACAATAAGACGGTAAGACTGACAGTAGAAACAATAAGACGGTAAGACTGACAGTAGAAACAATAAGACGGTAAGACTGACAGTAGTAACAATAAGACGGTAAGACTGACAGTAGAAACAATAAGACGGTAAGACTGACAGTAGTAACAATAAGACTGACAGTAGTAACAATAAGACGGTAAGACTGACAGTAGAAACAATAAGACGGTAAGACTGACAGTAGAAACAATAAGACGGTAAGACTGACAGTAGTAACAATAAGACGGTAAGACTGACAGTAGAAACAATAAGACGGTAAGACTGACAGTAGTAACAATAAGACGGTAAGACTGACAGTAGAAACAATAAGACGGTAAGACTGACAGTAGTAACAATAAGACGGTAAGACTGACAGTAGAAACAATAAGACGGTAAGACTGACAGTAGAAACAATAAGACGGTAAGACTGACAGTAGTAACAATAAGACGGTAAGACTGACAGTAGAAACAATAAGACGGTAAGACTGACAGTAGTAACAATAAGACGGTAAGACTGACAGTAGTAACAATAAGACGGTAAGACTGACAGTAGAAACAATAAGACGGTAAGACTGACAGTAGTAACAATAAGACGGTAAGACTGACAGTAGTAACAATAAGACGGTAAGACTGACAGTAGTAACAATAAGACGGTAAGACTGACAGTAGTAACAATAAGACTGACAGTAGTAACAATAAGACGGTAAGACTGACAGTAGTAACAATAAGACTGACAGTAGTAACAATAAGACGGTAAGACTGACAGTAGTAACAATAAGACTGACAGTAGTAACAATAAGACGGTAAGACTGACAGTAGTAACAATAAGACGGTAAGACTGACAGTAGTAACAATAAGACGGTAAGACTGACAGTAGTAACAATAAGACGGTAAGACTGACAGTAGAAACAATAAGACGGTAAGACTGACAGTAGTAACAATAAGACGGTAAGACTGACAGTAGAAACAATAAGACGGTAAGACTGACAGTAGTAACAATAAGACGGTAAGACTGACAGTAGAAACAATAAGACGGTAAGACTGACAGTAGTAACAATAAGACGGTAAGACTGACAGTAGTAACAATAAGACTGACAGTAGTAACAATAAGACGGTAAGACTGACAGTAGAAACAATAAGACGGTAAGACTGACAGTAGTAACAATAAGACGGTAAGACTGACAGTAGTAACAATAAGACTGACAGTAGTAACAATAAGACGGTAAGACTGACAGTAGTAACAATAAGACTGACAGTAGTAACAATAAGACTGACAGTAGTAACAATAAGACGGTAAGACTGACAGTAGTAACAATAAGACTGACAGTAGTAACAATAAGACTGACAGTAGTAACAATAAGACGGTAAGACTGACAGTAGGAACAATAAGACGGTAAGACTGACAGTAGTAACAATAAGACTGACAGTAGTAACAATAAGACTGACAGTAGTAACAATAAGACGGTAAGACTGACAGTAGAAACAATAAGACGGTAAGACTGACAGTAGTAACAATAAGACGGTAAGACTGACAGTAGTAACAATAAGACTGACAGTAGTAACAATAAGACTGACAGTAGTAACAATAAGACGGTAAGACTGACAGTAGAAACAATAAGATGGTAAGACTGACAGTAGAAACAATAAGACTGACAGTAGTAACAATAAGACGGTAAGACTGACAGTAGAAACAATAAGCCCCACAGTCATCAATCATCTTATCTGAGAGATCCTCATAAACCATTAAAGCCTTCAGCAGAGCTGTTTAACCCCAGAGCGTGTAGGGAACAGACTAATTGCTGAGTCTGTTGGTTAATTACCAGTGTTAAGTTTAATGGAGTTTTCCAGGTTAAAATTGGAAACGGGAGTTTACCAAGCAACCAACACACAGTGACCATTGTACAATGCATGAGCGAGACGTGACAGACGTATTTTGATTAGAGGGATCAAAGATCAATGTGTTGATAGTTTTATGCACTTAGTGTGCCGGGTGAGCAGTGGAGTTGTCTGTCTGTAGTCGCACTCAGAAATGTTTCTACGTGGATTTGGCTTTCTAACGGGTTTGTTTTTTTAAAAACCAGAAGAGTAGAAATCATTTTATTAGTATAGAGGAAACCGAAAAGGAGACCCTGTAAGATACCATATATGTTTAATTATATAAAAATGTGGCACAAGCATCATCAAGCTTTAGGGTAGTGGAGAATAGATTAAATGTCAAGACGGATAATAAGCACGATAAGACAAGTGTGTGTGTGTGTGTGCGCGCGCGTGTGTCATCATTGCACATTGATTTGTGTGGGTTATGTTGACTGTGTGGAGCAATGCCTGCTGGGAAGCAATCTGTCTCTGCTCCACCCTGTCAGAGTCCAGCAAGCACTCGCCATAAACATTTGGCCTCACACGCCCAGCAACGTGTGTGTGAGCCGGTGATGTGTGTTTACAGTATAAAACACGATATCATTTGTTTAATGAGGCCTTTTCTGGGATTGGAGCTTGTCCCACTGAGGCCTGAACAGACGGTAACACCAGCACGATCTGTTTTGCTCGACCCCGGGAAGCTGCGCAGCTGTAACGCTGCTAGGTAGAAGAAGAATTTATGGTAGTTTCAACCAATGTCCCAGCTTCAATGCAAAGTCCCTTTTTAATAATAAACTTTGTCAGAACGCAGTCAGTGCAGTTATGTCTGGTCATATTCATCCTCCTGTTTACTCCTCAGATTCAGATGTAAATCTTAAACTTTATTTAAAAGACAAAGTTTCTGTTCAGCTGTTCTTGGCTGTACAACATTTAACATTTGAGAACATTGGGTTCTTAAAATAAAGGGTTTTGTAGCTAAATGTGTTCATGGTATTGGTTCTTGGTTTGGTATCAGTACTGAAACTGTGGTATGTATCAGAACAAGTACTGAAACATTTCAAACTAGATCCAGCCAGAACCAGGACATGCTTGTCCTGCCCTGAAAACAACTGAAAAGAAAGTGAAGATAAAAAAATACATTTTGTTCAGCGACTATCTCCGTATTACTGCAGCGTGTTAGTATCTCTTGTATTATTACTACCACCACTGTAACCTGTTCCTGTTGTTACTACCGTAACCACAGTTCCTGCCCCTCATGTAATATCATTATCAGGGAATTTTTAAAAAATCCAGTTAGTTAAAAACAATTATGGATGCTCTCAAAGTATTTCAGTATTCCGTCCGCTGCACCTTTAACAAAATATTTTTTATTCCATTTCCATTTCAAGTTCAGACACTGTGGGCACGATTTACTAACATCCCGAATAAAGAGTACTAAATTGCGTGTGCATTCTAAAATACTGCACATGCAATTTTAGTACCTGTAATGGGTGATTTACTAAGAATTATTGCGTAGATGACAACAGGAGCAAACACAATGGAGGTGACAGTATTGACCCCGATTTGCCCCTGGCGGCTATTCCGCCAGTGTATGAATGTTTCCGTTTGAGCGCTCAGTGTATGACTGGTGAATGCAGATGTAGTGTAAAAGCGCTTTGAGTGGTCGAAAAGACTAGAAAGGCGCTATACAAATACGGAGCATTTACATTTTGGAACAGTTTGTGATCGTTCCCTCTGGCTGGATGAATTTTTCGCGTGATCCCTGCACCGCTGCAGCTGGGGGCTGCATTCTGCAGCGCCATGCAATTTTCTAAATTCTTCCATCTCAGTTTGGTTTGCACCCTCCTCTTGTATTAAATACAGATGCTGTTGCACTCACATGAAATTGCGTTTAGGCTTGTTGGATCACATTGTTAGATCAAATAAATGTATTTGCATATTCATTAAGGCAAAAGTACTAAATGAACAACAGGTGCTATCTTGCACTTTTGAAAGACGTCATTCTGCGTGTGCACCATTAGTAGATCAGCTTACCTCTTAATTTGCTGGTGATATCAAGTTTGCACACATTTTTACTCGCGCAAACCTTTTAGTAAATCAGGCCCTGAATGGACTGTTCCAGATAAAATGGCAGCCGAAATAACATGTGTCATTGTTGGATGTGAACCGAAATTTAAATTTATTTATTTTATTAGTTGTGTTTTGTTTCTTTCAGTTGTTTGTTTTCAAACACAATAACTCATTTTGATTTCTCCTCTCACACAACAAAGTTAGAAGGTGTGTAATTTCCGGCTACTTGTGAAATGGGTTTGTGGTTGATGTGGTGTTGTGGGGGTTACTTTCACTTTCACTGCAGAGGGAAATGTGGTTAAAGACCTTTTGGGTGTTTTCAAAGGCTGCCATGTATTTATTTTTCAGAAACACATACTTAGCTTTGTAATGTAATCATAATACAGTGTGTTAGAGGCACAAACTGGGGCTGCTTTTATTACTGCTATTACTACTCTTATGATCACAACTACAGTATCTGTGGTCATACCGTTTCCAAGGTCAAGAAGAAGCTTTCACTCTCACTATATATCTGTTTTCACTGCCTGAGTTGGACCCCTTATGACTAGTAAACTGATCTTCAGGTCCAAAATCAAATGACACACATTAATCTGTTCTGAATGTGCCAGTTATCTTCAGCTGAGACTGACCTGAGCCCCCCCCCCACCCAAGTGAATCGTTCTGCAGTCAGTATGTTGTTAACTCTGCTACAAACCCAGCTGCCGTGTCATCACATGCTCTGTCAGTCTCTGTAAACACCTCACACCTTAAATACAACATCAGAGCATGTTTACTTTAGTGAATGATTTCCTAATTTAGCTGTTGACTCCTTGGGACACCCTGAGGGATCTCTGCTCCACTTAGACAATGTGACTCAATCTTGATATTTTCTGTGTGTGTGTGTGTGTGTGTGTGCTTGTGTGTGTTGCATTCAGGGACATGTTGATCATGGACTTGGCAGCCACAGTAACTTTTGTGGAGCTGTGTGAGGAGGTGAGAACGATGTGCAGCGTTGCCAAGCAGCAGCCCATCACACTCAAGTGGATTGATGATGAAGGTGGGTGTGCCTCACGCTCAAATACTATATGTGTGCTCTGTCTCCTCCTCTGTCACAACATATGCAAACTGTGAGAAGGCGTCACAAGTCAAAAATGTTGGGAACCTCTGGCTTAATAATCTTTCCATCAGACATCTGGAATATTTCCCCTTAGCGCAGATTCCTGGGGAGACTTAAGATTCACACTGTCTCTGAGTGAGTTTGGATGGATCACATCCAGTCCATGTCAATCACAATCTATCTTGTCCTTCAAGGGGATTAAGATGACGGCTGTCTTATAACATCCATTTTGTAAATACACAGAGAAGCTCAGTGTGAGCCCATAGCACAAATATATCACAAAAAAGTTGGTGTAAAGAAATTGTAAATATAATGTTTGTAGACCAGCCAAATAGGCCACAATACAAGGTTTTTCCATTCCTTGTAATATCTGCATTCATGCATACGCAGCATTTGGACCAATAGTGATGCAATTTATTGATATAAAGTCCATTTCATACATTTCCTTTATTATCAATATCCACTCTGCCTTTGTTGGTGGTTCCTTACCTAACCATTTCTTAGTTATTACTTTATTACACTAGCTACTAAGAATATTTTAAGAAGATACTAGTCTTGAGCTTTAAATTCAGTTGGAAAATTACCCGAATAAATGATACCAAAACTGTTATCTCAAAACCCATTATCGGCCATGTAGTTTTTGTCAGCTTTGCTTGTCCTCAAAGTTTTGTGTTGTTAGAAAATGTTTTTCTTTAATTTTATTTTATCTTCATTTAAAACACTGTCCAGTATTCCCTCCAATCTGCTATCAACTGCATATATGTAGTTAAATTCAGTTTATATTAAGTTATTATATTTCCTATCACGGGGAAAAAGAATACATAACACGTTACGTGGTGCTGCTGCCGCTAAATGTTCTGACATGGCAGATCCAAACGTAGCATTAAAATCCAAAGTTGTCTTTATGAAGTGTTGAAAACTGAGTTAGTATAAAGCAGCAACACTCTGTGTGTGTGTGTGTGTGTGTGTGTGTGTGTGTGTGTGTGTGTGTGTGTGTGTGTGTGTCTGTGTAGGGGACCCTTGTACCATCTCGTCTCAGATGGAGCTGGAGGAGGCATTTCGTATTCACAATCGAACCAAGAGGTCTGGACTGCTGCTGCATGGTGAGTTGGCTCCTACTTTACATTTTATGATTATTCATATAATAATAATAATCTAACTTAATTAGTCAAAATAAATAACTTTAAACTCCAACTTGCCAAACAAGCAACTTTTATGCAACTTATTACTCGAAATTACTCATCTTTATGATGAACCTTTAGTGAGGATGTTAAAGTACAAAGAGTTTCTGTGATGTTATATTCATATAAGTTTATGGTGGTCATCATCTGGATTGCATATGTCCTGTCAGCTCTGCAGGAGACAGGAGAAAAAAACAGCATATTGATGTTGACCGTTTCCTTTCTGTCTGTTTCACAGTGTTCCCCAGCATCCCGGAGCGGCCTGGCATGCCCTGCCCTGGAGAGGACAGTGAGTACATCAGCTCTGCTCTCTCTCTGTCCCCCTCTAGGCTTCCCACTTACAGTCAGACTTCACTTGCTATGTAGTGATGGATCCCCTGAGCTGTTTGGATCTCTTTGGACTCATCTAACAGATGTTAGACCCTCTGCAGCTTTAGAAGACTCAACTGTAAATTCTGTCGTCTCAGTACCACCCCTCAGTCAGATATGATACAGAGGCGGTCACAGAGTTAAAGTTGGATGCATCCAGGTGTATTCAGCTATGGGAAGTCAGTAAAACTGACACAATTTCTCTTTTGTCCTCAAAACATTTCCTACATATACAGATGAAACTCGAAAAATTAGAATATCGTGCAAAACTTCATTTTATTTCAGTAATTCAACTTAAAAGGTGAAACTAATATATAGACTCATTACATGCAAAGTGAGATATTTCAAGCCTTTATTTGATATAATTTTGATTATTATTGCGTACAGCTTATGAAAACCTCAAATTCAAAATCTCAGAAAATTAGAATATTACATGAAATCAGTAAAACATTTTAAATACAGAAATGTCAGCCCTCTGAAAAGTATAATCATGCGTATGTACTCAGTACTTGGTTTGGGCCCCTTTTGCATGAATTACTGCCTCAATGCGGCGTGGCATGGATGCTATCAGCCTGTGGCACTGCTGAGGTGTTATGGAAGACCAGGATGCTTCAATAGCTTCTGCATTGTTCGCTCTCGTGTCTTTCATCTTTCTCTTGGCAATGCCCCATAGATTCTCTTTGGGGTTCAGGTCTGGCGAGTTTGCTGGCCAATCAAGCACAGTAATCCCATGGTCATTGAACCAGGTTTTGGTACTTTTGGCAGTGTGGGCAGGTGCCAAGTCCTGCTGGAAAATGAAGTCAGCATCTCCATAAAGCTGCTGAAGGAAGCATAAAGTGCTCTAAAATGTCCTGGTACACGGCTGCGCTGACTCTGGACTTAATAAAGCACAGTGGACAACAGCAGATGACATGGCTCCCCAAACCAACACAGACTATGGAAACTTCACACTGGACTTCAAGCAACGTGGATTCTGTGCCTCTCCTCTCTTCCTCCAGACTCTGGGACCTTGGTTTCCAAATGAGATGCAAAATTTTGCTCTCATCAGAAAAGAGGACTTTGGACCACTGGGAAACAGACCAGATCTTTTTTTCTTTAGCCCAGGTAAGACGCTTCTGACATTGTTTGTTGTTCAGGAGCGGCTTGACAAGAGGAATACGACATTTGAAGCCCATTTCCAGGACCCATCTGTGTGTGCTGGCTCTTGATGCAGTAACTCCAGCCTCAGTCCGCTCCTTGTGAAGCTCCCCCACACATTTAAATGGCCTTTTCCTGACAATCCTCTCCAGGCTACGGTCATCCGTGCCGCTTGTGCACCTTTTTCTTCCACACTTTTCCCTTCCACTTAACTTTCTATTAATGTGCCTTGATACAGCACTTTGAGAACATCCAACTTCTTTTGCAATTACCTTTTTGAGGCTTTCCCTCATTGTGGAGGGTGTCAATGATGGTTTTCTGCACAACTGTCAGGTCAGCAGTCTTCCCCATGATTGTGAATTCCACTGAACCAGACTGAGAGACCAATTAAAGGCTCAGGAACCCTTTGCAGGTGTTTTGGATTAATTAGCTGATTAGAGTGTGACACTTTGAGCCTACAATACTGATCTCTATGAAGATTCTCAGTCATCCAGGTCATAGTTATCCAACAAAGGTTAAAATGAAGGGCAACTGGACTTGGTTGAAGCTTCAACCAAGTCCAGTTGCCCTTCATTTTAACCTTTGTTGGATACAATACTGATCCTTTTCACAATATTCTAATTTTCTGAGATTTAGAATTTGGGGTTTTCATAAGCTGTACGCAATAATCATCAAAATTATATCAAATAAAGGCTTGAAATATCTCACTTTGCATGTAATAAGTCTACATAATATATTAGTTTCACCTTTTAAGTTGAATTACTGAAATAAATGGCCTTGCGTGCTGTTAAAACATGTTCTGCGCTCATTAATTTGTCTCTGTCAGAGGTGAACGGAAAAGGTGTGCGGAAATTGGGTGAGTTCAAGGTGTGGTCTTGGTTCCCGAATCTAGTTTATAAATCTTCATTTAGAACAGGAAGGAAGAACAGCTTATATTTATGAAGATAAGATTCAGAAGTGCTGTGTAGTACTGGAGTATTCCTATTGCATTTTGCTGCATTATTTGTGGCTCATTATTTTGAATCTCAGCTGTGATTGGAAGCAAATGTTATGCTCATTTATGATCTGATCAGAGTTTTCTCATAGCATGCACTGTGGGGTTCAAGTACTGGAGGTTCACTAGGTTGGTGTAAGGGAGAGTGAGATGCAACACAGGGCCCCAGTCAGTCTATAGCCCAGGATGTTGTGGTTTGTCGTCAGTGTTTTAACCCCTATGTTCAGGGCTATAGATGATATACCAATTTTAACAAATGCATGTGCTTCAAAATCAGTCCCATGTATCCCTCCATCCCAGCACAGGAAGATGCTTTCTACATCCTGCCAACCCCCCCCCCCCCCCCCGCTCTGGGGTAGTACTTTGTGATGATCCAGGAACTGTCGGGGGAAAGTTTGTGTTACTGAACAGTGTTTCCCACAGGCAGGAACTGGGTATAGCAGGGTGTATTTCTGTTTCTAGTAGGTTATTTCTAATTTCACCATTCTAATTCCACTTCATCAAAAGTCTATATGTGGTACACACTGGTCAAACACACCTTGTGGCTGCTAAGACTTGTGTACAGCTTCAGAATCGGTTGCTACTATAGTATTAGGGTGAGTGATGGATGTTTCTTTCTTCTAACAAAGTTATGTAGTCAACTTCCCACTAGTCTAAAAAGAGGAAGAGCTGTTCTTCCATTTTTTTTAAAATTCATAATAAATGTTGATGATAACCGGAAATAAAGAGTTACTGCCAAAATTAAGCTGCTATTACAATTACGAGACAAGAATTTCCCCTTTAACGCTGCTCTTTCAAATGGCTTGGCAGAAGAAAGGACATGTGGTCATTAAAACCAAAAGGTTTGTGCTCTTGGGAGCACGACGCTGCTCAGCCAATTTCATGGCAGTCCTCCTATTAGAGAATACGATATTGTGTGTGCAAGTTGGACAGCTGTGACCGGGTCATTTGTCCCAACCACCTGGTCACAGCAGCAAAGGAATTCACCAATGAAGGATTCAACTGTGTTAACTTGTATGACGTGTGACTTAAAGCCATGGATCAAACCTCTTGACTGTACTGACCTTTGAGATAATGGAGTCCAAAAATGAAGGAGTCATAGCTGTGACGCACCGTTCAGTTTTATAAAATGCTGCTCAGTTGGAGTGTAAAATGCTGAGCATTCAGCTGTGAGACAGGAGTCTTTGTCCAAATACAACGGTAATAATTGAACTATGAACCAGTTAGTGACCAAGTTTGCTAACCGGCTCAGCTCAATGCCACTTTAACAAACGTAATTTTTCTACTGAAATGTGTCCACTGTGACAATTCTTCATAAAAACCACATCTCCGAACCTACAGCCAATGTGTTCTGTAAGATAACACTGTAATAGTAGCTTGCACACACACAGTTTTGGTCAGCCGGTGTAAATGTGGAAACGTGACCCTCACTTTGCAGGTTGTAGTGGTCCCTCGAGAGTTTGCCTTGTTGTTGCTGACATGTGTTGGCATATTACTGGTTAGGCAGTGTGTTACAGTTTAGCTGTACAACCATGGTTTGTCATCGATCACTGCAAGTCACCAGTCACTATGCCTCCAAACTCCCAGAACCACATATCTCATGAATTTTGTTCTGGCCCGACCAGACACTACTGGTGGTGCTATTACTAGCTCCTGAATTACTGAAGATGCTGGAGAGCATGAATTTACTCAGTAAACTTCCTGAATAAAATATATTCAGATCTAATGGATGGATTGAAACCAACTTGAGCGCTGATTAATTCTTGCGTATAAAGGGGAATTTTGGCCTGATAGTCTGACTAGATGGAGGTCAGAGGTCAGCAAACATCAGGGCTCATCCTCCTCCTCCATCCTGTGAACATCTGCAGCTAATTTCTTGCAAGTTTGGTGGCCTGTAATGGTCAAAATATCTAGCTTTGCACCTTTTGGACTGACTGACTAACATTTCCATGTTTATACCCCACCCCCATTACTTTGTGTTCAGAATCTTTAAATAATCAGTGATATTATCTTAAAATCAGTTTGTAAATACACATTATTGTGCAGTTTTACGAGTCACTCTCTGTGTAAAAACAGCCTGTAGCCACCGCTGCTGTCTCTCTCTCACGTACTCTCATGTTGTTTGCTGCACTCCCTCGCTGCCTATTTGCTGTGACAGCATGTTTCAGCAGCTTATGGACTGCACTCCTGTGTGTGTGTGTGTGTGTGTGTGTGTCTGTGTGTGTGTGTGTGTGTGTCTGTGTGTCTGTGTGTCTGTGTTTGATGGGAGGGGAGCCCTGTGCTTTTACCCTGAAGCAGACCACTGGTTGACTGTGTGAAGAGCAGAGTGTGACTGTCGTTCTGTAGGAAGGTAATGAAGGACACACACACACACACACACACCCACACACCCACACACACACACCACCCCAAGCTAGTGTCTATGTGGTGTAAAGCTCTGCTAGTTGTGCCCTGGATGATGTGTAATATTGCACATGTAACAGTAGTAAGTGAGGCTTCCTGCTCATCTTCTGGCTGTTGATGTTCCTGAGTGGAAAGAGGAGGGAAGGGCCGAGAGGAGGAGAAGAGAGGAATGAGTGGAGGAGGGAGACGCTGTCAGACTTTTCAAGGCCAGCTCTGTTCTTCTTCATGATAAGAAAACAAAACCCAGAAAACATTTCACTGCTGCAGCAAACCTTCATTCATTGTGTGTGCAATATAAAGCTGCAGTCTGGTATTATCTGGGGGTCGCATGAGACTCCAGATGTGATGTCGCCCTCTACTCAGTTTAAGAAGGTCGTAATTAATGA